ACAGACTCACAGGTGTTAGTAGAATCAGTTTATTGATTAAAGTGGAGATGCAAGGAGGTTATGGACCCGTTTGACCTCCTGCCTCTGCATCCCCTGTCAATATTCGTGACAAACATTGATCCTTTCAGGCAATCCGGCTTGATTGAAGGGAGCCCCTTTTTTTCCTATTGAATGGTCAGAGAGAGAGATGAATGATGGTGAGGTGGTATTATCCACATGGGGGAGAGAAGTGGTTAATTAGCCTGGGTTGTTTGTGGGAAAACTTCACTTAAGATGTGTTCTGTTTTCACAGAAATGGGAACAGTGGGTGGAATTAGTCCATTGGGAATCACTTTAGGGACTGTACCTGAGGCATTCAAGACTGCGGTCATAATGACTGTATCATGGTGTCATTGTGTCCCCAATTATAGTCATTTACTATCCGTCTTCATGATACTCATTACAGCAAACTCCTATTTCTGTAGTAACCACATTATGTTCTACAGAAATACCTTAAATGCATGTATTATTAGAGGAATGCAGCACTTCCTTTAAATTGCCCTGCTTCTCCTGTGGGTGGTCCTCTGAAAAACCCAATCATGAGTTATTTGAATGACTCCAGCTGGGATACAGTCAGTCCTGAATACAAATTGATATGAGCGTAGAGATTGGGTTTTTTTCAAATATATATGTTTGCAAACAAGTTGTTTTTCACATGACCTTTTATCAGAGATGCATCAGGCTACAGGCCCACCTCATTTGATAACATATTGTTTTTGTATCTGTGCTTGGGTTTGTTGTTGGGTATGACCTAGAAAAGGAAGTGGGTTCAGGTTCAACAACCGTTTGAAGAATTATTACAAAAGTTTGAAGAAAAGTCAAGTACCTACAAAAAAAAAAGCTGAATACATGAATAAAAACTTGGACCACCTTAGGCCTGGGAAACATGATGTCTCAAACTGCCTGAAATAAGGCGCTGGGTGCCTACTGTACTCTTTTGATACTTTCAAGATTGAGGAAACAGCTTGTGCCTTTACTAAGTGGACATAATCTGTTAACTGTATCATTCATTACCCACTTCCCAGAAATCCTGAGTTCAGAGCTTCAACATATTTTAAGCAGGTATAAATGTAATGTCCTCCATATTTACCTAGACTGTTTTTTACAGAAGGAAAAATAGAAGGATATCTGCTAAATTGATTAGTTGTTCATTATCACATGAAGCTCAGTGCAAGTTCTTTCAGGAAGACTGCGTATATACATTCACTCCGCAGCTGCATAATCAGCTCATCACGGGCGTTGTCTATAACCCATATTTAGTGGGTTATATGCTCACGGCTGCATTTCCCCCTTTAGATATACGATTTCAGGATCGGGGTCTAATCGCCAAAGACGTAACATTTATCATATGACATGTGTCAATAAATGTTCTTTAATATGTTCACTTATTCAGTATCAAAACTATAGAAATGTTTATAAAGTTCAATGTCTTTTCACGTGGCTAATATTTTAGTGGCACATTTCTGTTGCAAAAATACAATAATATAATTCAGATTTAACTTCCAAACTTCAAACTAATTTGTATTAGCAATCCTTAGGAAATTAGGAAAGGTCATGGAGTATAAAGGCAATAAAATAATAAACCACTGATTTAGCAATGATTACAAACAAATAAATTGTCTTTGTTTGTTCCATGCGTTGTTCTTCCTCAACCCTTGACCGTGCACTCTGAGATTTGTGTGTGTTCTGCTAGTAATGGAACTTCCGGCTGCTAGCCTTGTATGGTACACTCCCTTCTTTCCTCACAAGTGCACTGAGATTTGTTACTAACTGTAAAGTATTAACTCATCACGGTACCCTGTATGCCAGGGCAGGTTGGCCTTCACTCACTGTACGGAGGCTCAGTCACTGGTACATTTTTATATACAAAGCCATGTTAGGTAAACTCCCATCTTACATCTGCTCTCTGATCACACGGCAAATTGAAAGTAACTATTGCCTGAGATCTCATGATGTGGTTTTGTTAAATGTGCCAATTGCTATGACTGTCTTAGGGATGAAAGCTTTTAGGTGCGCAGCTCCACTAACTTGGAACAGTCTGCAAAAGGAATGGAAACTGAGCAATTTGGTTCCACTACATGTTTTTAAAGCTCGGATAGATGCTATGCAATCGGATACTGTTGGTACCTGTAAATGTCGTTAGGTATGTAAATTGTAATCCCTGTAACTTTGCTGGATGATGTCCTTTTTGTTTTTCTGTTGTTTTATGTTTTCATGTGGAACCTACTTGCAGCAGGTCTCCCTTGAAAAAGAGATCGATGATCTCAATGGGATTCACCTGCTTAAATAAAGGTTTGAAATGAAATGAAAACCTGAGATATTTTTAATAATTTTAAAAACTTGTACTCCTGAGCACCAATTGACTCTGACTGAAGTGGCTTCACTACCGGTAATTTACAAGACCACACGCAGCTCCCCCTGGAGCCACACACGGCTTCAACCTTTTTCAAATGTAAAGTGGTATGCTACTCTTTCTACACTTAGAAAACCAGAGGCTGAAGGAAAGCTTTCAAAAAGATACATGCCTGAAATGACTACTTCAGTGAAACTGTATTAGGATGTATGTATTTAATATAAACCCATTACCAAGGGTGTATATTTGATATCTAATCATGCAAAGGAAAACACTAAATGTAGAATCCAGGAGACAATTTAATGTTAAATATGTTAAGCTATAATGCAGCAAAGTATTATGGATTACCTACACACATTTATGTTATCCCTGCTCAGTTAACACACATGTAGGCATGCCTTACGGCCCGTCCACACAGCGGCGTGCGTTGAAGCTTGCCGGTGGGGGGGGGGCTGAAACTCGACCAACAACCAATCACATGAATCTCCCGCCCCGGACACACAAGCACGCGGTTTGATTGGCTAGAGCTTGTACTGGCATATGATTCGATTGGCTGACGCTTCCGCCGAAGCTTCAAAAGTTGAACATTGCTCAACTTTTGCAGCGAGCAACGCTTTTGAAGCTACGCTTCGCTCCCACAATGCAGTTCGACGAAACGTGACGTCACCCCATTCAAAGTGAATGGGCAGAAGCGTTGAAGCTTCAACGCACGCCGCTGTGTGGACGGGCCGTTACTCTTCCCTCCTCCTGCGTGTCTTTAGTTTGGGGAAGAAACCTCTTTTCTTAGTGAATAATTCATGAACACATGAACTCTGACAGCTCATAGGCGTTACATCAGGTTCCCGCTCATGGTAAAAAACGTTATGCACATTCAAAACAAATCGAATATATATCTGTGCTCTCTATTGCAAGTGTAAAGCTGCTTTTTGGGAAAAAGGTAATATCAGAAGAATAGAGTTGTAATTTAATGATACAAAATAAATATTTCAAGAAGAAAATCTACCTGCCCTGTAGTCTTCTGTGCATTCAGTTTTGCTCCGAGATATCCCCTCAGACCGTCTGACAGACACACATAAGCCATTTAGTTTGGTATTGCCCGGACACACCGATATCCCACCTGATATTTTAGATTGAATCGACATATCTGTTCATCAAGGGCAAGCTATGCAAAAACAGGAATGTATCTATTTATTCAAAAACAAAACAAGTGTATCAACAGACCTGGATACAGTGTTGAAAGCACAGCCACATTCAGTCATATGAAAGTTGCCTAGTGGCGCATTAACCTAAAATGGTGCATAAGAAAAGCAATCAAAGTATAGAAACCCACACTGGGAAAACTGGGTGAAAATGTATGCTGTGTTCTATGAATCTAATATTTAGTGTGCAAGTTGATGCAACTGAAAACCAATAAATCTATTGTTTGAAAAGTACTTAGATCTTCTGCATCCATGGGGCCCATAGCATAAGCACAGTAGCGTTTCCTTTAACCCGCCTCCCTGCTTCATTTTGAGCTCTTTCCCATGAAAGACAGTTTATTGTGCTCAGGGAATTAACCCTGTATTCTAAATTGTACAACTTAAAGGACTTGTTTGTACTATGAAATTAATTTTCATAAAAAAAAGAAATTATCATCCTGATAAACAGATGTATTTTTCCTAATGTAAGTCAAATGGAAAAGTGTTGATGAATCCATTGGCATCTTGATTGACCCTGAAGTTGTAATTTTACCGTATATTAATCACAACATTTGACGTAAAAGCCCAACACTGTTCCAAGAGGCTCAGGTATCCTGTTGCCCAAACTATGGTGGATGCACTGCAAATTGGTTTAAAAAGTTGGTCGTAGACACAACACAAGCAATTTAATTGGTGTGTTAGTGTACGTTTGGCCATGGAGAATGTTTTCAGTTTTTTCGGGTAGAGATTAGGGATGCTGTTCAGTGTTTAAATATTGATGTGAATAAAAAAGGGGTTGCGTAGTTTATACATGTTTACTGCAAATCAGTTAATTAGCTTGCCACAATATGATTCTCTTTCACACTGCGTAAACATGTGATGTTAATTGTAATGAGCCCATGATGGGACATTTCTAGAGGGAAATAAAGGCCCTATAGTCAAACCTGACATATTGTCGTCAAACATCATGATATTACTCAAACATATGGTGAGATTAGGTTTTTCTCCAAGTTGCCAAGCACTTTGTTATAGCTAAAACTTTTGCCTTGTTGTACCACTTTCTAAAGGAATTACTGGTTGTTTACCCCCCTATAACAACCCATCTGAGACGTATATTTTACAATATCAACACTCCAGACTGCCTGGACATCCCGTCAGCAGCAGCAGGAGGAGGAGAGGGAGGAGGAGGTGGAGGAGGAGGAGGGGAAGGGAAGGAGTTATAGTAGGAGGAGGGAGTCTGTTCCGCTTGGATGACCGGAGCCGTGAGGAGTCTGGTCGGGTGGAGGCAGACAGACAACACTGCTCTCTCTCTCTTCTTCCTTCTTCTACTGTCTCTCTCTTTTCTGCGTGCGTCCCGCTCGGGCTCCAGCTCGGCTCAAGGAGGGAGGTAAAAGGGAGGGAGGGAGTGAGCCTCTTGACGCATCGGGAGAGAGTGAGCACACCAGGGCTTCACTTTACAATATGCAACCTGCGAGACGCCACGCCGTAAACTAGGCTCCTGTCTCCGAGAGAGAAAGAGAGGAAGCATGGAGGGACAGTAGGAACCGCGCACAACGGCACAGCCCGTCCATGTTACGCTGCACAAAAGAAACAGCAGTATCTTTGCGCGCAAGTCACACGGATACTTCTTTTTTTTTGCCCGGGAGCGTCGCCGAGACTCGACAGTGATGTCTGTGTGCACAATTGTCTTCAGTGATAACATACGGATTATTCTGAGGCTGTGAATTCCTTGGAGACATTACTGCTGAAAGGACAGGTAAGAATATTATTATTATTTTCCATACGGGAACAAATGACATCTCCATCAGTGGCAGTTCAGACACATGAGCCCCAGACTATTTAGTAACTTTTCACAGATTACATTAAAACCTTGTACAGGAATTGCCTTCTCTGAATTTCATCCTGCGTTGATCTCATTTGCCTGTCTACTTTGTTGTGGGACTATCATGATAGAAGCAAAGTAATCTGCGAGTGTGTATGTGTGTGTGAGAGTGTCTCCGATCCGTGCAGATGTTTAGTAATCCTGGTGCGTTGACCCTCCCATGAATAATCCCCGCGGATTTTGCAGATTATGCTGCCCGTCTCTCAGTGTTGACCACACATTGGCGTCTCGTCCTGGATACTGCCGGATTTAACCGGAAAACGCGGAAAAAAAACAAAAAAAACTTGTGATTCAACCCTAAAACGACACATATGCATATTTAAAAATAAGTAGTGAATAATGTGAGGAATTAAACTATGTCAATGAAAGTTTGTTTATGTTGGTAGTTCAAATGCTCCTAAATGGGGATCATAATGATTCATGCCACTGCTCTAATGTTTATTAAAGCATCTGTCACTCACTATGTAAAGTGTCCAATGCCAGCCTGTGATTGGCCTGGAGTGTGATGGCCAGCAAATGCCATTTAAGCCTACTTTAATATGTTTAATATGAGCATCTGTGCAGCTTCAGCACATTGGGCGTGCCAACTTCTGTTAAAACTGCTCACTCGAATTATAGCAGCAAGTGATTCCCGTGGAGTTTTTATTTTATTTTCTTCTCTGGAAACACAAAAGTAAACCTAGTGTGTGCAAGCACAGGAAGGAAAAAGTATCACCTGTCAGAGCAGTGCTATCATGCTGCAAATGAGCATCTATCTGATGGTGTTCGCACATTGTCCATTCACCATGAGGCTGCTCCGGAAAGTCTGCGTGTGATCTGTTGCATTGACTTTTCATCGGATTTGACAAGAGCTGAACTTCTTTTAAAGGTTAGAGGAGGGGGAAACAAAAGATACAACTTCACCTCAAAAGTGTCCAGACGGATTAATCCACAGCTCAGTCTTGATTTGTGAAACATGAGCGTTGATAAAACCCAAAAAGCCTGAGACAAGAGAACAGTTCTCTCTTGAGATCTAAGCATAAATATTTAAGGTTTTAAGACATGGTTGAATTAAAGTCTGAGGAGCAGATTTAACTATGTTTCCACATTTAAGCACAAACTGAAGCTTAGTTAACACGTTGACATTTCTGCGTCACGCGGCCCAGCATGCCTGACTGACAGGAAAACAGCCCGTTAATTCTTGGTTGACGTCCTGGAAGCCACGTTCCTGCAATAGGTGACAAAGCACAGTAGTGACATTACAAATATCCCGGGAAGGTGCTTTTAGAGGCGCGTCATAAAGATTGTATCAAATAGTTTCTGCAGGAAGTATCGAAAGAACTGTGTCACCAAGGTCATTTTTATTTAATGTCTCTCCAGGAAAGCTACCTCAAGGAAGAGAAGAAGGGGATAGTGTGTGTTATGTGTGTGTGTGTGTGAGATGTGATGGAGAACTTTCTATGCCCATAACAACTCTTCACATGGACTTGTTTTGTTGCAGGATATCATTACAGCCACACACACACACTTCACAATCACCATGAGGCTGTTTGAAGTGCGTAGGCTGGGATGAGGTTGGAGGTAATACTACTTGTTGCTGTATCTTTTACCCTGCCTCCAGCTGTTTTCCATTCCCTTACTATATGATACTACTTACAAATAGATTATAATTCATTATATTTAACTGTAGCTGAAGCAGGTGTTAATTTCAGTGATAAAAACAATTAGTTGCCTGTCAACAACGTTGTCGATGAGTAAGACGAAACGATGACAAGATGGCACCAACGTCATTTCACACTACTCTAACTGATTTAACATGTAATGTTGCTGAAACAAAAACATACACTAAAATATTGTTTTATAATTGAAAACTTTACCTGAATCCATCTTTACTTTCATCTACCAAAAAGGGATTGCAATATTATAGATTTGTTTTACAACATTTGTGTGCAGGTGTTTATTTTGGTCCACTCTATATTGGGAGTACATCAGCCGCATTAAATGTGTTTCTTTACAAATAATCAGGTTCGGGTTATTAATCTTTGCCAATTTGGTTTGTAGTTAAAAGACAAGGGATACATCATGACACACAATTTTAAACAACGCATACTGTATGGGCCGAAAGATAGATCAGTGGTTAGAGCTGGTGGTATGGCCCATATGCAGTGTCTGCTATCATGTATGTGGGGCAACTCCTGAGCCAGCGAATGTTTAAGGCAATATCATCCTCTCCATCTCCTCCTTTCAACACTTAATTCTCTATTTATCGCCAATAAAGGCACTCTCTGGCCCAAAAGAAGAACCACATTAAAACCAATAGAACAAACATGAACAATCAAACAGACAAATAGCCGTTGCATCAGTGCTTTAATCATTAATCTGAGCAATGGCTGCTGGAACAAAGGTGTTTTTGCATTGCTTTGTTCTACACCTGTTCTACACCTTGGGACTGCTAACCTCCAACCCAAGGGGAGAAGCTGTGATTCACTGATTGGTGTCAGTTCACCTCCTGGGCTCTCCAGTGGGGCCCTTGAGTCAAGAACCAGACCCTCACACTGCTCCGGGCGTTCTATAGTAGCTGCCTACTGCTCCTTATATCCGATTTCACTGTGTGGGGTGCTCTGTACATGTGTTTGACGGTTAAAGAGGACTATACAAAAATAGTTAAGGTTTTCTTTTATTAAGATAAAACTCAAATGGTTAGGTTAGGGTAAGTAGCTGTAAAGTTGATGATGACTGAAGGTTGATGTTGACTAAATATGCTAAAAAACAAAAAAGGACATTTGACACAATTAAGACTTTTTCAGAAAAGTGTGGAAAAAGCAACAATATTTAGCAAATAAACTCCAATTCTGTAAATTCTAAACTTGTATTGCTTGTAAACCCTTGCCTCTCCTCAGAACAGTTCTACCTCATGTTTTATTCTTCCCAAACCAACTTGTAATAATTTTAAATGTTTAAAAAAAATATATACCATACATTTGAATGGTGTCTGCTACACAGATGGACTTCCCAAGCATGTGGAAAAGTTCAAGCAAAGTCATCCCCTCTATGTACCCATTTTAACAACATTTCTCCAATTAAGGCAGTCTTTGGCCCAAAGAAGATCTTTAAATGTTGAATTAATCGTAAGAGAGATTTATTGAAATAGCTTATAGTTTTGCCAGTAATTTGGATCCGCTCTTTCTATCAATGGAAAGCTGTGATGGCCAACTTTTCACTTTTTAACAGAGATAAAAAGCAGCATTGTTATCCAACTGGAACATTTTATTCAACACTAACTTACAAAAACACCTGATAGAAAAGTTTAAGAAACACCAACATGCAGATTTTATTTGTCTTCCTACCCCTGCTGTTGAGTACCCATCATCCTTGCATCCACCCCGATAAACAATCTAAAGTATGTATTTACCCATCTTGGCTGATGGATAAAACTCCTTTCGGAGATAAACACGGCAACAGAGAAGCAAATAAAAACAAATGCCTGGTGTCAGTTGTTTAGCAGCGCTGCTTTTTGGCTTCACTCTGCTGGATTTTTCAAAGTAAACAGTGCTTTGAGATTTTCCACAACACAATAATGGATGAGGAAGCTGCGGACCCCTGATACCACTTTACCGGAGTGCAGCGTGGTTTTATGTACGCAATGCATTACTCTTTTGAATCTGGCATAATAGAGTTGTTTGACAAGCTGAGTGGTGATGAAATCTTGCCTGTCAAGCAGGAAACTGGAAAAGTACATTCTTTCTAAAAAGGTATGATGTGTATAATCAAGCAGATGCAAATACACAGTATGTATCTGCAAGTACATTCTTTCTAAAAAGCTATGATGTGTATAATCAAGCAGATGCAGATACACAGTATGTATCAGAGAGACTGGAGCTTGAATGTTCAGCATGAAAGCAAACTATATAATAGGGCTGTACTATTCGGGTTTCACATTTTTTTTGTCGTTTTTTCATTTTTTTTTTCAAATTGGAATTTATTGAAATCTCCAATATTAACGTAAGAGCTTGTGCCTCTTCGGGGGGTGCTAACACTTAACCATAACCGTTATCGCTTACTTTCTCCGCCTTTATATGTAGATATTACTTTTTTTCCGTCAAGTTGTTTCCATAGCAACAACAACTTCCTGTCAACAGCGCTAACTCTCCTTCAAAATAAAAGCATGTCCATACAAAATAGGAAGCCAAGCCAAATTACACTTAAAACATCTACAACTGCAACGAAAGTAACACAGACAATGCAATATCCTTTTCAATTTCAAAGAACACAAATTGGGTTAGATACATTAACAAATAACTATAAAACAACAATACTGTAGAATAACAGTTTGCTGCTGATTACTATGATAAAATGAAAAAGTTATCTGAATGACCTTAGATTATATATTTATCCATCATACCCTTTCGCAAATTTAATTTCAAGAAAAAAAATGTATTTATTTCATTTAATGCAGGTTAACATGTCACGTTTTATATACTTTTCTGTTAAAAGTCTGAAGAATTCTTGCCTAATTTTTCAATTTAACTTGTAATTTCCACATTATATCTAATCTTAATCCTCAAAAATAAATAAATGATGAGCTCACTTCTGTGAATTGGGAGCCCTTGCACAACTGTCAGGAATTAGTACACTTAAAATATTGCAAAGCTCCTCAGTGTTGTTTACCAAGTCCCAACTCTGTTCATTTTTAATATTTAGATTGAAGGAGAAAAAGATCTAAGAAGGCTCATTGCGACAGCTCCATTTCCGGCTCTATTTATCTAGTCTCATTGGTTCTGTAAATGCCCCATTTGTAATCCAATCATATTAGAATAATTTCTCTGCTTTCCTGATGCTTTATGATGCTCTGTCACTTCATCGCCTTTGGTTTCGAGGCAGCGCGGCCCTTTGGG